AGGTCTAGAAAATAATCATCCACAAGGGGCACTTCAAAGGCGCCAAGGTGTTGTGGTAAGAACTGTACAGCGCTGGCTGGGAAGGTTGGAATTTAATTGGAGGGATATTAAAAAAGGCGTATATACAGATAGTCATAAGAGGGATAACGTACGGGCAGATAGGGAGCAGTTTTTACTCCTCCTCGAAGCTTACTGGCCTCAGGTAGTAGAGTTTGAGGACAATGGGACAATGATTGATAAAAGATATCAAGAGGGAGTGGAAGTGCATGCTATAGATCCACTAATGCGGCCTCTTATCTTGATTACCCATGACGAATCTATCTTATAATCAAATGATGGCCAACATCAAGCCTGGGTTCATAAGGGTCACCACTTCATCTGACTAAAGGGGAGAGGCCAAGGGATAATGGTCTCTGACTTCCTTCTCCCATGGTGTCATCTGAGTACCCAGTCACTTCCATTAGAGAGAAGAGAGGAGTTAAATTTACCAGAGTATGCTAGTGTTCTTTTTGAATATGAACGAGAGACAGGGCATTGGGAAGGCAAAGACCTAGTAAATCATTTAACTGAAATTGCAATACCTATGGTAGAAGCATGCTATCCTGGACATCTGTTTTTATTCCTCTTTGACAATTCTTCTAATCATGGACTATTTGCTAGTGATACTTTACGTGCATCAAACATGAATCTCACCTCTGGTGGTGAGCAGTTATTTTTACAGAATGGCTACTTTATAGGAGTAGATGGGGCAAGAAATATACAGTCTATGTGGTATAAATTGGCTGGATCTGAAGGGTAAGAAAAGGAGACACGAGTACAAAAGGGGCTTCAGCAAGTACTTGAGGAAAGAGGGCTGTGGCCAGATGGTGGGCTGCATCTTGAGTGCCCGAAGAACCTTTGTGCTAAAAGTGTGCCAGTTAAAAACTGTCGCATATGCAAAAGTGGGCAGAAATGTGCTGAGTGTAGGAAGAAGAAGATCTGCTCTGGTCTCTGCTCACGTCTGAGAAAGTGTAATAAGTGTGAGCATCGGCGCACTTGTGAAAATTGCACTACACGGAGAAGATGCACTCAGTGCATCGAATATAGAAGTTGTAGGAATTGTCCTATTTGTGCTGACATGCCCCCCCTATAATGTGTTCGCAGGGTGCTAATCACGTTATCGGTAATAGATATGATAGTTGGCAGGTGGCCTGCTCTTCCAGAGAGGAGGCGAGAGCTGAGAACTAAAGGAGGCTTCAAGGGTGTACTGGGGAACAAAAAAGTAACCGTTCAACCAAGTATATTGAAATACTGTCTGTCGAAGTCTGCCTTTTCTATCGTAGAAACAGGCGGTCTTTAAATACACAAATCTGTTCATGTCTAGTATGAATGAAACTAATCAAAGGTATCAATCGATACACTTTGGTAAAACTCCTTAAGTATCAAAGCGATACTTAAAACAAAACATAAAATAAAACCAAGTATCAAAGCGATACTTAAAACAAAACATAAAATAAAACCAATAACCGAGTACCTGTACCGGTTACACCCCCATTGTACTTCTTAATGTATATTTATTTGAAATCTACTCTATATTGCCCAATTTCCTAGTAGACTATTATGGTTGGCTAATTAAAACATTATTGTCTAGGATGTTGTGCACGATAGCTTATGAGTAACCAACCGGACTTCAAAGCACAGGTTGGACTACTTACAGAGGTTATTTACAGTAGACACCATCGAGTTCATTTCATTCCCCCCCCTTCTATTGTGAGTTAAATTGGATTGAGTGCTACTAGAGGGTGGCCAAGCATTATACGAGAGACAATTGTGAATACACAATTGATGGACTACGACAAACCCTCCCTACTACCCTCGCTTCTATTCCGAACTCTACAATACATGCCTTTTATCACCAGTGCCTACGGTATATTCAAGCCTATTGTGACAGAATTGATTTTGCCACTTCTAAGTACGAGTAATACCTTAAACATATAAATCACACTGGCATGTCTACTTCCTAATAAATGATATGTAGATAGTTATTTGTTTATAATACTGCTTTCTTTCTCTTTTTTCTTTCTTTCTTTCTTTAATACATCATATTGAATGTATACCTTCCGGTACTTATACCAGAGGCTCATCCATAATCCGCTATCATCACTTATCACACACTGTCTTGGCAGCTTACTAAACATTTCCGCGAATTAACACAAGTGTCGATTGGCAGTGTCCTTCACTATACCGTACCCTATCTCAAAACGGTTTTGTATATATGTATATGTACTCATCTCAGGCAAGAAGTATCCGAATGCCAGGGGGGTAAAATGCGGTTAGTAACAGGGAGTAGAGAGTGTGTGTAACGGGACTGAATATGGGCATTTACTGCCCATTTTGGTGTCTTATTTTACCCAGAATGCCATAAAAAACATCATGAACTTATAAATTTTATAAACAAAAAAGCCTATTCTATAGAAAAAGAAAAAGAAAAAAAAAAGAGAGAGAGAGAGAGAGAGAGATTGAAAACTATCTACCACACTGTATGTCCCCTATGAGCATTGATAACAGCCTCTATCCTCGCTGGCATGGTATCAATAAAATCCAAAATATCCTCCGGCCCAATACTAGCTCATTCCTCCACAACTGCTGCAGCCATTTCATCCTTTCCCCGTGGGCATGGAGAGCGTTTGTTGAGGCTGTTTTTCAGAAGATGCCAAACATCCTCTATTGGATTAAGGTCTGGCGAGGACGGTGGCCAATTTATCTTAGGCATTTCATAAACCTCGCGAAATGCCAGTGTATATACCACTCTATGAGTGGAAGCTCCATCCTCCATGACCCACAAACTATAACCAGCCTGCTGGCTTGCCTGTCACCAGAAAGGCCAGAGAACTGGAGTAAGCACATGGGCAACATAACTGCGTGCAGTTATGTTGCCCTAATCATTTTTTTGCCACTGTATCAGAGGAGCCTTCTCTCCTCCCAATATCCCCCTCCAAATCATTATTGCATTTTGTTTTTTTTAAATTTGGGAGCTATACAAGACTCCTCATATGCTTCCCCAGGACGTCGAGTTACCCATATAGTACCACAAGAGCCCAAAAGCCAAACGTAACACTCGTCAGTCCATATGACTTGACGCCAGTCATCTCTCGTCCAATGCCGGTGGGAGAGCGCAAAGTTGAGATGCTTCTCCTTCGCAGCCTCCGAAAAAAGACCTTCCTTCGTGCCTTGTAGCGCTTGTAACCCTCAAGAGCAAAAGCCTTGCATAGAGTCTTCTCATGGGCATGAATGCCGCAAATATCAGCAATCTCTCGCAACGGCATCTGGCGGTGCAGGCTATCCTGGGTTGCTGTTGCTACTAAACACTGTCGGGTCTGGGTATTGATTGAGAAAGGCCTACCTTTTCTCTTTTTTGGTGTAGCGGGAGCCTGGCAGATGTCCCAGACTATGCTAACCCCCAGATTTTGATCCTGGGCTATACGGCGGTATGACCATCCTGCTCGAAACTTGAGAGCTTGCACGAAGCAGCGGGTCTTGTAATTGGTCTTGTGAGTCTTGACTGGCATTGTCTATCAAAATTGTTAATATTTTGTATAAAAACCACGAGTTTTTCAATTCTTACCTATTCTCTGATCACAATATGTCGGAAAGTAGCAATTCTGGGGTGTTTACATTGCTAAGCTGTGTGGAAAAACTCTTTATTACTGTACACACAGACCATCTAAGAACCCCTGCACCAACCGCGTTTCACCCCCCCCTGGCGTTCGGATACTTCTTGCCTGGGACGAGTATAATCAGTTAACCGGTAGTCTATCCACGGTGCAGTACGGCAACTTTCACACACCGGTACTCGTACGTCCCTCCCTTCCTTCCTTCGAGAAGTTCTCGACGGAAATTCTAGCGAAAAGGGAAACTCGGCTATCTGCTGTGCTGTCTATCTATCTATCCAGACACTCTATATACGATAACTGCTACCGTGGGTGGGGCGAGGGGGGGAATTGTGCGTAGAATACTCGTAGCCTTATGGATAGATAGATGGATAGATAGATTTAAAAAAAAAAAAAAATCTCTCGTGCTCACTTTGTATATATAATGTACTTTGTATTCTGCTGTTCGAGTAAGTATGACTAACCCCTTCATGCGGTGTATGATAACTTGTCATTCATCGTCAGTTTTATTTATTTATCTATGATATTTCTCGTCGGGTAGGTGAAGAAATGACTTGTACGGTACAGTACTGTACATGCTCGCCTATCATACCCCCCCCCCTCCCAATTTACAGCTATGATATAAAGCTTGCCAGATGTCGGCATGGTATTACTACCTCCCATTGCTAAGGCGATTAGGCCAACAACAATAATAGTAAAACTCGGTATCGTGATAAACTATGATACCTGAGGGTTTTTGAAACCTTAGACTATTGCTCCCTTTTCTGCGGGGAACCGCCTGCGCCCCGGCCGCCTCGTTATCAGGTTTTGAACGCCTAACTTACTCGACGGCCCTATCTTACCGATATCGGTAGGTGTTTTAATGATGGTAGTCTACGAGTACCTAACTTATGATACGGTGCTCTTGCCCTACGGTTTTGTGGGGGGAAGGGACTCTTTTACCGCATGGGGTATTGTATCCTGTTTCCCTTTTACGTGTACATATGATACGGTGGTCGGCCTGCGCCGGTGTTTAAAAAGTATGATAAAAGGTGCCTAGCTTGACCTATCGATACGACAACAAAGTGCTTCGCATAACGTGGTCTTCAGGTATTCCAGCCTTACAGGCGAAGTGGGTGGGCCTAATGCAAGCCCTTTTGTGCCCTTTTTTTTTTTTAATTTAAAAAAAAGTGTATTACAGTAAGTACTCGAGTACGGTACTCGTGAAGGCTCAAAGGCCCCCTCCCCTTCCTGTTTAGCGAAGGATAACTGTGAATATGATATAGTAATAATATCATTGTGAAGTGTCAGGGTTAAGGTGCTTTATGTACGCCTGTTCGCCTACGTACGGGCCTGATACCTAACTCTGCTCGCGGAAAAGGAGTTTGGGATTGGAATCATTGCCTTCTCATCGAATCGCTATCGCAATGTGTTGCATACACCGGTCCTTAGATCGGATTGGGGAATTCCTTGTTTTTCGCGCGTTGTCGTGTCTGCCGGTGATCGCGGAGGTTTTTGCGTAGGGTATTTATGCGAATCGGTTCTGGGGGGTATCTGGGAGCGGGTGTGTGTGCGGTATGATATTATGCAGGCTGGTTGGATGGGTCACAGCCTTGAATGTACTCAAGTACTATACTCGAGTATCAAGGGCATGCAGGTTGGAGTGCATGACTTGGTCGGTTGGTTGGGGTGGACTTTCTGAAAAGGTTATGGATACCGATACTCGTGGATGATGACTCGGAAGTACTTTGCTGTGCTGTGGAGCATAGTTGGAGGAAATGGGGGAGGTGGGAACATGATGGAGGTCTTTGGGAATGGGGATGCGAGTTGGGTCTCGTTCAAGCGTGGAGTAGAGTGCGAGAAGACTGCCATAGAGTGGGTACGAGCATCGTGGGACCTGACTTTTTTTTTTTTTTTTTTTGTTAGCGAGGGTTTTGGGTTTGAGTTGAAGGGTTTCGGGTGTCGTTGCGGGGCTGTGGTGATGTGCCAAGTATTGGCTGGCTGACTGACTGCTCGAGCAGTGGTGGTGGGTCAATCGTTTAGCCCATGGTTTGGGCATCGGCGTGGCCAGTAGGTTAGGTAGGATACCTGCCGATCAGACAAAGTGACATTCTTCCTCCTCTTTTTCACCTTCAAATGAGCGGAAACCTCAGCTCCCGTTCAAACAAATCGGCAACGCTGTTCGAATGGAGCGGAATTGGTTTCGCCCTTTTTCAATTTTATCATCACGTATGGATGCTGATCATTTCTCCGTCCGCCCCAGGAGTCCTTCAATACGTGTTCCTCCGTCTTGCTGGGTGTCTGTCACTCCCGAGCGGGATATGGTTGCTCCGTTGGGTCCTGCTGCGCCGGAGTGTTGTGTGTCCCATGCCGTGGTCGACAACGGACATGCTTACCGGTAGATATGCCACAGCCTGGACGAATCGAGTAACTTGATGAGGGGAAAAGTGAGAAAAGGGTAAAAAATGGGAGGGAGCTTTGACTCGATACTTGCTTTTTTCCCCTCTCCCCCAGCCCTCGGACGAGTCGGACTCCGTCGGTGCCAACGGACCAGAGCGAAGTTGTGTGCATCATTAACTTGGCTTGTTATAGTGTTGCCGAGGTAACGAGGGAAAAGCGATAGGCGAGGGTCCTGAGTCTCCCACACAAGGTCAAACTTTGGGCACCGCGTCTTTCAAATCATTCACCGGTATGCCTTCTGATTGTGTCCGTCTGGTTCCCCCCCCCCCTACCGTAAGGGGTTTTTTCTTTCTTTCTTTTCTTTTCGCTTGTGTCGTAGTTTTATAACGGCCACAGTGAAATACCGGTAAAACCAAGTGAATGGCCAGGGCGACCCTGATCGAGAGGCGGAGAGAAAGGCACAGGTGTGCGAGAGTTACGATTCGCACATTTTTTACTCGAGCACGGAATAAAATTTGCTTTGGGAGTGTTTGATTGACATTGCCTAATACCTACCTGTACCTGTTTCCGCCCATCGTCTCAAGACTCTAAAACCCGTAATCATTCGTGCGGTACAAGTACTCGTACTCTTCCGAATACCTGTAAATTTAGCACTGTACTGTAATGTGAATGAGTGCGCTTAGCTTAACCTTACGCCAGACCCCATGCTCGGATGGAGATAGATGTCGCTACGGATGTAATCGTCTCCTTGCTGATAAATACGGTGTGATGCGGACCAGAAAAGCTTTCCCTCTCCTCAATTTTCTTCGGTCGCCTAAGGTTATTTGGTTTGTCAGGAATTTTAGGCGTGAATGCGGGTGTGTGTGTGTGGGAGGAGGGTGTGGGTGGGTGGGCAGGTTGAGTGTGTGGGTAGCAGGTTGTGGGTGTTGTGTCGTCGTCGTTGCAACAACAACTACCTACGAGTACGGGTACTCCAGCGCAGTTCGGACACTTCTCTCGTTTGTAACCTCAGCAATCAAGTGAGTAAATCCAGCTAGCCATGAGATATTGTCCATGAGGCGTATCAGCAAAGTGGGAAAGTCTCAGCCCGGATCATGGGATGGACAGGGGGGGGGGCCTGAGTTAGTGGTTGATCACTGTGGTGGTGGTGGGTGCGTGTGAGTGTGAGCGAGAGAGAGAGGTTGTGGGTGTGTGTGGGATTAAGGAGCCCGTACATCCGTTCTCCGAATCTGGAATTACAGTCATCCCGACTCGGCGGATGAGCCTTATGATGGCCCCGTTAACTGCGACGTTGTCAGTCAGTCAGTCTAACTAGCTGGCCTGGGTCCCGCACATCCCACAACCCACACACACCCCCATTATGGTGGTAACAAAAGTTCGTCAAAGACCCAACGAGTCAATATTAAAGACCTCCGCCTCCCCCCCACCCATCGAGTTCTTCAACCTACAACTCTGAGCATCTACAAAGAGGACAGCAATCAGCTTGAAGATCATTTGCCGAATATACCACCTTCTCCTCACTTTTCCCCCATCGAGAGAGGAAAAAAAATAAAAGACAACTCTGATAGCTTTCCACCTACCGACATACAGACAGCAACAAGACTCAAAACTCAACTTGATACCCGCTATTTTTTCTACAGCCACAACCTCTCGATAAAGAGTCATAGCGTTGTACCCAACCAACCGGATCCCGTCTCCCCAAACTGGTATGTTAACCTTGCCGCTCCCTGCTTTTCCCCTCCTTCAATTGAATCCGACTGACTCATTAAAAGCGCATAGATTCCCCCCCCAATTCCCGCATCACTACTACAAATACAATGACTTCCTACTACCCTTCGCACCATTCCCCACATTCACCTCAACCTTTACGATTGCGACAGAGTTCGGAAAAGATGAGCATCACACAAACATTTTATCTCGCCCACAAGGCCCGAGGCAAGCTCTCATCGGAGGCTTCACGACAAGACCACAACTTGCGTCTGCTAGTTGGTAAGTCAACCTTTAAATCGGACGCTCGTCATCGGTTTGAGCTTTGTTACTGACTTTATACTCTTGATAGGGCACGCAAACCTTCTGGACACATTAATGATCCACTTGTCCGAGGCGGAGAGGGATCAAGAAAGGTGGTTCAACGCCGTGGTTCAAGGAAACGAAGAGTCGCGAGAATACCGAGATCTACCAGAGACAATCGAGGAGGAGCCAGAGGAGTATGGATCGTTGGCAGCAGATTACGATTCGGATTCAGACTCGAGCGAAGAATCAGGCGACGAAGAGATGGAGGACGTCGACGCTACATATACCCTTACCCGGGAACCATCGTACAAATACTACCAAACACAGGAGACCATCATCGGTGTATCAGAGGTTGAGGAAGACTACCAAGAGGGCGAAGAGACAGAGGACGAGGATGATGTTGATGAGGATGGCATGTTTTCTCTTACACGAACAAGATCGAGACGACCACCATCACTTTGCTCCGACTACTCCGATGACGAGGAGGATGAGTCGAATCCACCATCACCACCACAACCGACAATCCAACATCCCCCACTGTCGCACAAACAACATTTATACTTTTCCGAGCACCTTGGCTCGGAACCTCAGGATCTATTCGAATACTACGAACCTCAAAGAACACCTGGGATGATAAGCTCATATTAGGCGGGGTAGTTGGGGTTTCCTTTTTCTCCCTTTCACTTCTCATTTGTACAGATTTTTTTTTATGGGTAGGATATATCTTATCAGTTTATGAGCGGGGATTTGTCTTTTTTTTTTTTTTTTTTTCAATATGACCAGCCGGCGTTGTTTCTTTCTTGGATTGTCTATATTTTTTCCTCAACCATCTCTCTCACTGTGTTATTAAGCCGCCTCTTGCATACAACTCCCTTCACCCCGTACAGTTTCATTTCATCATTAGCGTTTGTTTCTGTGTCTTTTTGTTGGGTGATTGATACATTGCATTGGGCGGGGTCTTCCCTTTTTTCTTTTCTCCTTCCTATGATATAACATTCGTCATCTTTTCCCCTTTTTGTTTTTTCATCAAGGGAAATCATGGTGTCATCGGGTATATTTTTCATGTCATGTTTATCCTACTCTTTACAGAATTTCCTCTTTTCCCTACAAGAGGAGATCCCATCCCCATCCATGGCTAGCATGGATGGTGGAGAGAAGACAAAAAAAAGGGTCCAAGATGAAAAATAAATTAGTTAGAAGGCTTTTTTTCTTCTCCCAATGATGCGGACTCGAGTGCAAAAGTGCAGAAATGAAATGAATTGAAAAAAAAAAAGTGATGCAAAAAAAGGTTCCCCCACCGCGCCCTGCCCTGCTTGCTTGTCGTGCGTTGTTGTTGTCTGTCACTGGCGCCTACCGTACATGCCATGCCATGCCATGCCATGCCGGTGCTCTAATTGCCTGGCTGCCTTATCTGTCTTGTGATTTCGGAAAAGCGCACCGCTCCTTCCTTCCTTCCTCGGCGCCGAGTGTCAAGCGACGCACCCATTGCCATATAAATTACCGTAATCATTGCCTGCCCTATCCTCTCCTGCCCTGCCCCGCCCTGTCCTGTCCGCCTGTCCTGCCCTGTCTGCAACGCCCGCCGATACACGGTCTGTACTGAACCGCACAGGTACAGTAGTAACTAACCCAACAAAATAACTAACGCCTGTCAGGGCGCTCACTACGAGTATCGTTACTCGTACGATTTCAGTTGGTTCGCCCGAGGTTTGTTGGGTTTTTCTCGGCCGAGGAGGTTCGATGTGGCATGGTTTAGGGACCAGCGATCACTGAGAGTGGAGTGAGTGAATGAGTGAGGGTTTAGGGTCTGGTCGGATTGGCTTGGCTTGGCTTGGTCTGGATCATTCTGTTATCATATCCTTTTTCTCCCACTCAACCTTACCTACGAGTAAATTACCCAGCTACCCGTTCTTCACTTCATCTACGTTTTTTCTTTTTTCTTTTATTCTTCTTCTTTCTTTTACCCACTCGGATAGAGAACCAATCCGAACCCTAAGCTGAGACCACACGTCGTCAAGTGCCGTAAATTGGATGGGACAAATTGTAAATCACTTTCCCCGTGTGCTGGTGATACTTGTAATAGGTAGGGATGAGGCGTTAGAGTTATGCCGCGGTGATATGATACAGATGTATCGTATCGTACCGTACCGTACGAGTAAAGTTATGCCCACCAGGAAAACCGTAAATACGGCAGATTCTCGAGAGGTAGGGAACGCTCGGACGGTTTTTGACTGGAAACTATCGGGTACGTTATCTGATCGATTCGGAGTCGGGGGGTTTGTGTGATGGTTATGTTTTTGGTTGGCGGAGTTGCTACGAGTATGGGTTTCGAATTTGGCTTGGGGCGCTTGTGATCGATCTGGCAGGTTGTGTGGATTTGGTAAGTACTGGTAGTAACTTATCATGGTAAGTCGATTGGGGGAGGTTCCGCTTTTGTTTCATTTTTATCACTGGCTTTGACGACTGTTTGGAATACAGTGATATGGTACTTACTTTATATAAAGCTCCTCCTGGAGTTGCTAAAAAATTGATAATACATTCTGAATGTCTCCTCGAGTAGACTTGCCCGCTGTCCATATCATGGCTCTCTTGAACAATCCCTTCAACCAGTTTAGTGTAGTTATCGTACAGGGTTCTATTGTAGAGGGTAAGATATGCAGTTTCAAATGCGGATGAAGATTTGTTTTTTGAATTTGCTTTTCACTGGATCTGTGGCTGTTTTCTGTGGGTAAAAAAAAAAAACCCTTATCATACAGGTACCGTACCGCAACACTGCTCTCTCTTTTTTTTTTTTTGGCCCCAGCCTCGTGCTGTTTGTCATGCACCAGTATCACAAGTTTTGTTCAGGTGGTTTGCTCTACTGTTTTTGTTGAGGATACCTCTTCTCCTTACCTCCTGGTTTTCTGTTCCACCCTGGAAAGACAAATGCCGTCAAGACTTTCCCGAAATCAGCCATCAGGTTATCCGTGAGGATCAGCGCGTCAACCCGCGCGCGATAGGTTTAGTTTTGTAGGTTAACAACGCGTCCCAATGGCCGATCTTATACCTTGTCAGGAGAACGCTACAAGTATCGTACTATCCCCTGGTTCACTGAGACGTGGGCGAAATCTCTCTCATGCATTAGCGTACTTAGTTTAACCAAATGTAGGTAGCGGATCACATGACATTAA